TCACAACAACTGCCACATCATCGGCAAAACCGGTGATGTGGAAGCCGGCCTCACTTAGTTGATTTATAAGTCCATCTACAATCAGGTTCCATAGCAGGGGCGAAAGAACTCCCCCCTGCGGACAGCCCCTAGTCGGATGTCCCTTTACACATGCCCTCCCATGTCCGGCCGACAGTCTTCTGCCTTTCAGCATGTTTTGTGTCCAAGCAATGATAGTCTTGGACACCTGTCGTTCTTCCATGGCTTTTTCTATAGCCGGATTCGAAGTGCTATCAAAAGCCCCCTCAATATCCAGAAAGGCGCCTATGGCAAAACCCTTGACCGCCAGTTGTCCCTCAATCAGTCCCACCAGGTGATGTAAGGCGGTATCTGTTGATCTTCCCTCTCTGTATGCATATTGACAGGGGGAGAGGGGTCTGTCAGCCAAGGGCCCGGCCTTGATGTGTCTATCCACCAGCCTCTCCAGGGTCTTCAGGATGAAGGATGTGAGGCTTATAGGACGGAAGTCTTTTGGTTTTATATAACCGGTTTTTCCAGGCTTGGGAATGAATACTATCCTAGTCTCATTCCACACACTAAGGAAATGTCTCAGGGCTATACTCGCTCTGAGTATCTTGGTTAAGGATCCCGTGATATTCTCTATCCCTTCCTGTAATAGGGCTGGGTAGATCCTGTCTGGTCCCGGTGTCTTGAAGGGTTCAAAGGTTTTGATGGCCCACTTGACCCCCCAGGGCTGCACTACTTTATTTGCCAATGCCCAATCATGGGTTTCGTAGACATCCCTCTGATTTTGCATTGTTTCTTTATCTCTCTCCTGGGCCTGTATGAAGCCTGGAAAGTGGGTGTTCATTAGGAGTTTCAGAGTCTCTCCCATGGTTTCCGTGTGGCTGCCATCTGGTGCCTGTAGGCTCCCTAGATATGGAGTCTTGTTTGTTCCAAGGATTTTTGCCAGCTTAGAGGTCTCCGATTGACTCTCCACGTTGCTTGTGAAAGCCCTCCAGCAGTCCTCTCTAGCTGCCTTTATTGCCTTGTTGTAATCTGCGAGCAAGCCTCTATAAGTTTTCCATGGCTCTCCCTTACGGGGGCTCGCTCTCATGTTCTTAGCTTTTCTAGCCTTGCCCCTCAGCCCACCGAGTTTCTCTGACCACCAAGGAGTCTCAGTGGGCTGCCCTTTCGGGATAAGCTTGCAGTTTGTCTCGAAGGAGTCCATGATGGCCTGGTTTAGGGCAATCGAAGCCTCCTCCAGCTGCTTTTTGTTGTTAAATCTGAGGATGATATCCCTGAGATTGTCAGATAGACTCTCTCGGTAATTTCCCCAGTTTGTTCGTCTTGGGTTTCTCACCCATTCCGTTTCTTTCACTGTGTGGATGGACATTCTTATGGTTTGATGATCGGACGCTGAGAGGTCCTTTGAGACCCTCCAGTCCCCAATCATGTCTGCCACTCTATCCGTCCCCAGAGTGATATCTATGACCTCCTGTCGTCTCCGATCTATGAAGGTAGGTTCTGACCCCCTATTAAGGATGTTTAGACCGGCCCCCATTATGAATTCCTGGAGGCTTTCCCCCCTGCCGTTAATGCCGGTGCTCCCCCATGCTACATGGTGCGAGTTGGCATCACAACCTAGCAGGAGTTCAAGTCCCCTTTCCTTCACATGGTTGCATAGGTCCTTTATTTTTTTTGAAGAAGGTGGTTCAGCCGAGTCATAGGGCATGTAAACTGACCCTACAACCAAGCTCATTTCCTCGCCTTGTCCCAGGCCCAGATCCACTTGTGCCACAGCCAAGTCTCCCTCACTAGCCTGTGAACAGAAGAAAGAGTCTAGTCCCTTGATAACAATACAAGATCTAATTTTTTCCCGAGTATTCGTGTGATAGATTTTGCCACAACCTTTGAGGCCCTTAATAGCATTGTCCATTATCCATGGTTCTTGGATCAATGCTACAGCAGTCTGCATCCCAGCTAATAGCCTGATTAGAGTAGCCGAGACTGCTTTGCTGTGATGTGAATTTATCTGTACAATGTGCACCCGGGTTGCAGCCATAATGATGACTACTTTCCTGGTACCTCTATGTACCCTTCTTCTGACTTTCACCACGGTCTTTCGCAAGCAGCTTGACAGTTGCTTTTTGAATCCCGCAGTGCAGTCTGAAGTTGCAGGCTTTCAGAACAGAGAGTGATCGGTCGTCTATCAGCGCAACGAAGTGGGCACTTTTCGCGTCCCTACTCTCACTGCCCCGAGCGACAACCCACTCTCTGGCCTGCAGTCCTGCATTTTGTTTCTCAAGGAAGCACAGTGCTTCTTGAGCGGTTAGATCTGGGTCTTCCACGTGTAGTACAACCCTGTGCTTCTTGGGAAGCTCCGAGGCTGCGACCACACGTACAGTAAGTCCAGCTATTTTGTTTTCGGGGAAAAGGCTTTTCAGCCAATTTCCCGTTTCCTCATCAGTGCAGCACACCATTGCCACACCTTCTCTTTCCCAGACACCGTTGAAGGTGGGTGCTTTCACCCCGTCAGGTAACGCCAGAATGGCCCTCTTCAGGAGTTTCTTCACCTCCGTTACCTCTTCAGTGCCCAGTTTCTGATCCGGATATGACTCCGGCATAACTGCAAACTTGAATGAGCTCGTAGTATTCTGAGCATATGTGCCCTGATCCTGCGTTCTCATTCTCTTTTCTTTCGGTCTGACTGAGGGGCTTGGCGTAGTACGCTCTGATGGAAGGCGTTTTATTGCCTTCCTCGTAGCCCCCTCCCCCCTTCCCTCATCGACCTTCGCTGCTGCATCCGTCAAGGTTGCAATCGCCCCCGAGGTTTGATGCAGCTTCGCTCTCTTGCGACGTCTTCTCTCGGCTCCACTCGGTCTGACCCGATTCACATCGATACCAGGC